GGCATTTTATATTTTTTCTGAAATATAATTGTGAAAGTACAGGTGTTTTTTTTTGTGAATTTAAGAATTTTTTTTTATAAATTTTTATTGTGTAGTTGATAACTAATTTCACACCTGCTTAAAGGGTTTTTGTCGTTATTAAATTGTAAATATGATTACTGTCAATAGATTTTGAGTTATTAGTTCGTTATTTCATAAAGGGAAGTCCATCTGCTTGGAGTTTTGTAGTATTGAAGTATACTTGCTGGTGTACTGACGTGTACTTTTTTCAACTTTGGAAACTTACCAGTTGAACCCTTCGCGAGAAAGGTAAGATTTATATCTATTTTTGGTAATACTATTGATCACCTATTGATTGTCGATTTTTGTAATTTGTAATTATGAGACTTTTTGTGAGTCAATGTAATTTTTCATTCATCCCAGGTACTTAATAGTTTCTAGTTTACATTTAGGGTAATTAATTGTATAGTTTGGGAAACTTAGGTTAATTTTGGATTGAAGCATTTTTTTATATTTTAAGGGTTCACCTCTAGGACTTTGCCCTAAGAGGTTACCCGTTCATACACCCGGGGGTTTCACTTGTAGACTCAACCGTAGGGATACAATACACCCATTTACCAGAAAACTGGTTCATTATATTCATGGTACATTGGTTTGTTAGCCCCCTAGCATACTATATTCACTGGTTTTACTAAGATGTTACTTTATCTGGATGAGGAGGTGGTGATGCTGTGATTGGTGACACCCCACTTTTAGGTTATTTATAATATATTAAGGATTTCATATGCACTATGTCTGCTACTTTCTTATATTAAACGTTCTACTTTTATTTCAAAAGAATGTTCCTTAGGTATTGTCAACTTTACTAATAACTTTCCAAACAAAGTGGTTTAGTGTGTTTTTCTTTAATAACTTATGTGTTAGTAGACATTTATTTTAAAATTTAGTTAATTAAGCCGCTCTATCATTTGAGCATTGACATAGTACAATACATTATTTCAAAATTCAGTTAATTAAGCACCTCGTGACCTAAGGGCTACGTTTAAAATTTAATTTTTTTCAATTTCTTCTTTAGAAAAAAAAAAATAAGACTAAACGAGAAGTTAAGCAATCATACAGCATCCTAGGAGGCAGATATTAAATAAACTTTTTTCAATTTAGTAGTTTCAACAAATACTGCTGTCTTTTTTTGTGTATTATATTTTTCCTTTATAATTTTTATTTTAAGGTCAAATTTTATGGTTTTTATATTTTGCTTTATAAATATTTAGGGTGGGCAAGTAACCTCTTTCGATTTAGAGAGCTTTAATAGTTTATTTTCAACATTAAAGAATATTGTTTATAAATAAGTCCAAATGTGCACATGTGGATTTATAATTTTTTCTTTCATAATATATTGAGGAATGTAAAATGTAGAAATTCATATTTTACGGGTTAAATTAAATATACTATTTAACATCTTGTGCATATTGTCCTTCGCTTGGTACCATGCTAACGACTTTCTGTAAAATCTATTAATGATACTTCGTCGAAGGCCCAAAGGTTGACAACGGAACAACTAAAACTTATGTAAACACAGTAGAAAAAATTTTATTTGTAAAGTTTTTAAGTTCAATTTTAGGCAGTTTCCCTCGGTGGAAATTGCTTGTTGAATTCGGTAGGTTACAAGAGTAGGCATCTTAAATACTCAGCTACAAGAAAATTAGACACAAATCTGCACTTTAGCTTTAGAATTATAATATTTATTATCATTGCCCTATACATCCCTAAGGGTAAGAGTTTTTATTTAATTATGATTTGTATATAAAAATTTAACTGAACATTTTATTTTCATTTGCTTTTTACAATTCACAAGAGCGAATAAAGGTATTATACAAAGTAGCAAAACTTAGAAAGTCTAACTACACAGTCATACTTATTAAACTTACACCTTAGAGTCGAAACTTACACCTTAGAGTAGAAAACTCCAACTAGTTTTTGTCAACGTTAAACGAAAACAAGAACTCAGCGCGTAGATAACAAGCGCAAGTTTCTATGTAAATTAAGTTTCGTATATCTAATAAACTAATAAAAGTTCAAAGTTGTTTTAGTAGATGTTTTAAAGTGGTAACGTATAAAATCCTTGCATATATTTAACTCGACAACTTACGGTGAGTATGTAGGGGAGCTTGGAATATAAAATAATAACTTTATTAAATAAAGTTATCTACGTTTTATCTACCACCAACTAAAGTTGTCTCAACTGATATCAAATTTATATAGTCGACATAATATTTTAGGTTTCAAAAATCAATTAAATCAACACCAATGTATTCATTTCGTTTCTCTATTTTAAGTAATGGCTAAGGGCAAATTTTATAATTAAATTAAAGGAGGCTATAATAAATAAAAGGGCACTTTAAATATGTAGATTTCATAATATAAATTTATTATTTCATTATTACTCCTTAGGGGATAATTTAATAATAAAATTAAAGAAGACTTCAATATCAAAAGGACAATTTAAATTTAATATAATTTTCAAACAAATTTAGGGCTTGACTAAACAATTTATTAATTTTTTTTTACAGCGTATACAGGGTTAGGCACAAGAAATGTATTTTAAATGATCAGTTAAAAATTAACAAAATTACATCCAATACAGCAAACAAATAAGTTTAAAAGTACATTCAAATACATATACAGGGCGTACCAATAAAACCTCCCCGGCCGGGGAAGTAATAGAGATATTGTAAAATGTAAAAGCCAGTTCATAGAGCTCTAAAAGAGCTTCAGTTTTAGATATAAATTAATTTTAAATTGGGCAATATGTAGATGGCGCTGCGCTCAATATATTTTTTTTCGATGGGAGGATCTTTCTTATAGCACATTTGGTAACAAATTCATTTTTAAACAGATTTTGTTTTATAAACTAATTCGATAAATCTAGCCATTTTTGATATACAAAGTGGGTCACTCAAAACAGTTTTATCTTGTTTTTTGGCTTTAATCATTAGATTTTCAAAAATGCTAAAACAGTTTGATTTGTATTCCAAATTAAATACATTTTTACAATGCAGACACCTGTCATGTGTCAACCCCCTCCCTTCCACTTCTCCAACCCCTTAATTTTAGATAAGGAATGTACCATCTACGGCAAATCATTGAAAAGGTCATTTAATGGGAAAATCAGAAATATGACTGTTGATTGCGATACTTTTAATTTTAGCGCCCTCTATCGGGATAAAAAAACCTGTAACGTATTATAAAGTGTGACATTTCATTTGAAAGCTAATTTAATTACTAATTTAATGCACCACATAACTTTAATATAAATATTTCCATATTACACTTGCAACAAAATAAAGTTACCAATAATGTTTAAAATAATGCATGACTAATTTTCAAATTATTGCAATATGAAGGTTATTTATATTAATGTTATTGAATTAGTAATTAAATTTGCTTTCAAATAAGGTGTCACACTTTATAATACGTACAGTTTTTTTATCCCGATAGAGGGCAGTACAATTAAAAGTATCGCAATGAATAGTCATATTTTTAAATTCACCATAAAATTCAGTCAGAAGAGATACTTTGGACGGTAGCCTTTTCTAAATGTTTGTTTGAGGTCTGCACAACTTGCGAATTTTGATTTTTGGAACTGCACGGAACTGCATCACTACTTGCCAAACTCCATTGAGATGACTTACCCAGCTCAGTAATGCTGACGGTTGCGTCCAAAGGGAGGTCCATATCCAGAAAGTCAGTATCTAGGTGCTGGGCGTTGTTCAAATGTCGGTCGGTTGTGGGAGCGTTGAAACTACCTTCTTTCAAGAAGTGCTGCAGCGCATCTGACTGGTTTTGAAACTGTTTGCTTGTTGAATCTCCGCTTTTTAAATTCGCTTCCAGAGGATTTTCTCTTAGCATCGGACATTTTGGTTTCTGGAACAAATTAATTAAAATAAAAGATAATACTGATATTAAAAAAAGCGACCCCTTCATTATCGCAAGTTATTTTGACCTATTAAAAAATACGATGGAAGAATTAAATTTGGTGGATAAGCTCAAACTCATTTGGAACTTAGACGAGACCAGCTTCTGCAGAGATCCATCGAAAACCAAGGTCTTGGGTCAAAAAGGGCGTTCTGCAACTCGCACAACGAGTTCTTCTGGTAAAGAAAACATTACTGTACTAGCATGTAATGCTGCTGGAGGTAAAGCCCCACCGCTGATCATATTCAAGGGGAAAAATATTTGGGATCAATTTATACCTCCAGAAAACTCGGGGTTCCCTGGAACAACATATGCTGCTACGAGTAATGGGTGGATGGAAACGTCCGTGTTCGAAAATTATTTTAAAAATAACTTTTTGAAAACAATTGGTCCACAAAGGCCAGTATTGCTGATATATGATGGCCATGCAACACATGTCGGTCTCACACTGAAAGAAATGGCAAGGGATGAAAACATTGTGATTTTAAAACTTCCAACAGCCACCTACTTCAGCCACTTATGCGTTATGAAGTCTTTAAAGGTTCGCTGGGATGCAAAACTCACAACATGGCAGAGGCATCATATTGGAGAGAAACTACCAAAAAAAGAATTTTCTAAAATGATTGGAGAACTATGGACTGAAACCAACAAAGAGGTGATACAAAACGGGTTTAGAAAAGGTGGAATATTTCCATTTAATGACAAGGTTATTCCCGAAGAAAATTACGATCCCGCTGCCCTACAGCGATGGAAAGTGCACAATATTTCCGTTCACAGCAATGATAACAATAACTTACCACGGTGCTCTTCTACCCCCAACAGAGTAACTGAAACCAGTGCCCTCGATTCAGATCAACTTCATAATATACCAACCGTAAGTTGCTCCACTACTGCCCAGATAGAAGCAGAATCGAATACAGATGTTAGTTTTGAAAAATTGCTACTTGCGACTATGAAAAATCACACTTCTTATAAGAAAGTAAAGAAAAATCGGGCATGTCCAGGTGCTGAGGTTATCACTAACGATGGTGCAATACAAAGACTTAAAGATAATGACATTAAGAAAGTTAAGCTACAAACAGCCAAGAAGAAAAATGAAAAAAAAAAAATCCAAAATTAATAGTTCGGACGATAAAGAAAATGCGGACAACTTCAGTTTACACTCATCTTCGAGCGAGGCATCTCTATCTACACTTTTAAGAAAAGAAGTAGAAGAACGCCAAGAGAAAGAAGAAGAAGCCTTTAAACCTGTGACTAAAAAGCAAATAGGTGATTGGGCAATTGTTAAATTCTGTACAAAAAAAAACAGTAAAATATTTTGTGGGTAATATTTTATCATTTAATGACTATTAGAAGCTGTTGTTAGTTTTGTTAGGAAAGCGTCAGACCGTGCAGTCATAACGACTTTCTATTTCCCATCTCAAGAAGACATTACAGATGTTATGGAAGATGACATAATCTTCATTTTGCCGAAACCAACCATTGGACGCAGGGGAGAAGTGATTTTTTCAGTAGGATTTTCTCAGAATAATATACAGTAGTGTTTTAGCTTTCATTCTTTAGCTTTTCATTTGTTTGTTTTTTTTAGTTAAATTCAGGATTTTTTATAAATTTTTATAGAATAAAGATTTTTAATTTCTGCAAACACCGATGGTCAGCATTTTCTTTGAATTTTAAGCACTTACCTTACTGACTGTACTCCATATTTTAGTGCGAAATTACGAACTTGTTACGCAGTTACCCTTGATCAGAGAATAAGTGTGTACTAGCAACATAATTTTAAAAAATAAGTCACAAAAAAATATATTCATTCTAAATAAAAAATTTAATGGTTTGCTACAGCCAGGTAGGTCCTTAAATTAACGTATAAAACGCTCATTTGAATCTTTTTAAATTGTTAAAAAATATGGGTTGCAAAGTTAAACTTTACAAAAACTAGTGCGCACTTGCCGTAGTTGATGACCTTATTTACGTGAAACCAAGTGCACGAAAAGAAAGAATGAAGTAAGAGTGTATCTGACTAACGCGGGACGGAAGCAGAGGTGGGAAGGACTGGCATAACCAGTTGCTATTTTGGAACTTTTTAAATACTTTTGAGGGTATTTAGATTTTAAAATACGTAGCCACAGAGCGGGGAAAGGGGGGGTACTACCTATGATCATTGAACACAAGGCGTGGAACATAATGTATCTATTTTCTTCTAGTAACTCCAATTCTCTAATGCAATCTAAAAATCTGTCACTATTTTAATAATCTATCTTATGCCCTTATTTTGTATTTTATTATTTTGTACCATAATTATCATTCTTTTTCTTCAATCTATTGTACATACTTCACCCGCAGATTGAAAATTTCTGTATTTTAACAATATTTTCGTATATTATACTCCAACCCATTTTGATTTATTGCATAGGGTTTTGATAATACGGAATAATTTAATCTAAAGTTCCTTATTTTCTAATCACAAAATTATCTTATTAGCTTCACTAATGCTTCTTCACATTTGTGTCTATCAGGAAATCGATATTAGGCGAGTATTGTCCAACTTTAGATAGGTTAAAACTGGATAAAATGTGAATATGCTGAATAGATCAAACAGTTGTTTCTTAATCAACAAATTTCTAATTACACCAATCTCCCCTAGTCGAGGATTATGAAAATTTCCTCGAGTTACAGTTTTAGTATTATTATGTATATATGATATTCACCTTAAAACGAGAGGTGGAAGATGGATGCTTTAATGTAGATACTTAGTTCAAAATTAAGGAAAATTTGGATGTGTTTATTAACACTCAACATTTTATGATTACGACTAAACTATCATCTTCATTAACTTGTCTAATTAATACACAATGTTGTATAAAGTCGTCCAGCAAAAATTGTTTTTAAAGTAATCCATGGAAAAATCACGATGAGTTTGCAGTAATTCTATTTTGGATTTAATTTAGATGAGTGTGTAGTCTATTGAGTGGTCTACTTTAGTAATATATTTCTTTTAATCTTACGTAATTGGGTTTCACTTGGACCCGTCTCTGAATCCATTACTATTGTAACAATATAATTCTACTATTAAATTGTTTTTATTAAATTTATAAAGACACCAATATTTTACTATTTTTTAAACTTTTAAAGTACCTACCTAATATACTACACAATAAATATAACTCCTCGAATATGCACTACCACTACCAAATTGTAAGGCACAAACATGAACACCTACTTGTATATCAGAAAAGAGCACAGATACAAAAAAGTGTTTATAAAACATAAAATAATTATCGTAAATAGTTAAAGCGATACAAATCTAACTTCGTCGAAAGTTAGTTTTCAACTCTCTTTGTGCCTGTGCTGACAATATTCAATCTGTAACCCGTCTGTCGTTTATTTACTTGAAACACATTTTAAAACCATTAAACATAGATAACGAAGTAATTAGGGAATAAATATATTCATTTCTTAAAAACTATCAAAAACGTATATTTAACGCATCATCTTTGTTTAAATAATGATGTTGACAAACAAATTTAATAATGTTTACTAACCAATACATAATAAATAATAAATAATTATTTGGTATTTGATACGCCGTCTATGCAAACTCTGTCGGAATTTTCATTCATAGACAACAGTGTTGATCATGCATATGGCTCACCTTCTCCAATATTTTGTCCGAGTATAGTGCAGAACATCTAGCTGTAATGTGTTCTATTGTTTCACTAGGCTCTCGGCATTTTCTGCATACATCCTCTACATACATCTTCTACATTCGCTTTCAAGATATGTTTTTCATAGTTTCGTGTATGGATTACTTGATCTTGAATTGCTAGTAATAATCCCTCAGTCTCCGGGTATAGTTGTCCTTGTCTTAGCCACGTTAGCGAAATTTATTTATTTATGTTTTGCTGTGCCAGTACATTATTATTATTATTATTATTATCCGAGTAAAAAACTCTTGTCGCTTGTTTTCTATTCTATCTTAAACATTGGAAACATTGGAACTTACCAAAAAAGTAGAAATTGTCGTTATTCATTCAATTCATTCATTAATTAAAACATTCACATCTGATTGATTTACATTTCCGCATATTATAGGGTCAACTACCTATTCAAAGTTACACAGTTCCGCAGCCCTTACAATTCCTCGTAACTATGCTAATAATAGCAATCTACATACAAATAGTAATCCGACAGGGTTATTTTACCTGATTAATTATTACACGAGGCAACTCTTCTTTGATGGCGCGCGCTGGTAATTCTATACGTGGGTCAGGTTTTTGCGAAAGACTCTCCAGTTCAACAAATTGAGAAAGGAAACTTACGCGAAGATGAGACGTAATGTACTGCATAGGCCTCTAGTATAATGTATTTCTTGATTAAATTCACACACTTGAAACGAGTAACTAAGTAGGTTTAAAGCGTTACGTCAAAATACCTTCGAAGTGAATAGAAGGGTAAAATTCAGCTGTTGCTGGAAACATGAAAATTGCATTTATCTCGTTAAATATAATTCATTCAATGACAAATATACTTTAACTAATATAAATTTAATATATTAACAAAAATCTTACTTTAATATATTTTTATTAAAGAATTTAATTAAAAATATTTTATTCCAGTATATTTCTAGAGTCAATCCAATGCAGGCGTTTGTACAAGGGTTGCGGAATAATTCGCGTTATAAGCGCTGGGAATGCTGCGAATTCTATACCCTAACATTGCAAATAAGCGCGAATCGTCTTGGTATAGCACTCATGTAGCACTTAAGTTTTCAAACATTAACGCACCTACAGTTGATGTAAAGTCCACAAGTGAGCGGTCACGCGATTTCTTAAAATTGCTGACGCGCCTGGCTAGCTGTCCTTCAGTTGTTTTTTTGTGCAGTAGATATCTTTTTTCCTGATTTAGAGTGTTATTATTGTGACGATAGTTTAATTTATTTATAGTTTAGTTATTTAAAACACATTATTTACAATTTATTTATGACGTATTAATTGATTTATGTAATACTTAGGCACTAACTTACAAGTCTTATTTATTTATTACAATTTATCGTTTTAGTCCAATACTTTATTCTAAACTACTCGTCCGTCGACGAACTCGCGCTATTTATATAAAGCCCACTCTGTACTCATAGTTTCTAGACGCACTCGAATATCATCCGGAAATTCCATCTCTAGGACTCAACGGCACGTACCGCTTATTCTGATAGTTTCTCGAAGCGACAGCGGCATTCTTAGAAGATTCTATCGTTTCGATCATGAGTCGGGTGGCAGACTTTTAAGGTCGCGCTCTACAGAGACGGCTTAGGCATTCCCATGACATTATATAATATAAAATGTTATTTTTCAAAAATCGAAGTTTTATCCGGAATAAACATTTTTGAGAAATAAAAAAGAATTTTCCCAGCGATTTCTGATTTTTTATTGCCATGATTGCAACTATCTATATGTAGCCAGCCATTTATCACCTGATTAACCGAAAAAATATCGCTACGAATGTTTTTGATATATTATAAATAAAATTAAATAATATTAATATTATTTCTCGTTCTGAAGGTAAGTGGATATAATAAAAATCACCTAGATATACTTAATTTAATTGTCCCTACAATAATCTATTAGTGGAATCGATAAATCGGAACCGTGGTTATCGGGTAGAACTAAAATCTTATTAGTCGCGCTAGGTTTGGTATGTTTTACACTTCAAAAATCCTCCTTTTGCATCCTGCCCGACTTATTTACACTAAATCCACACCCAACAGGTCCATCTCTGACAAAATAATCATGATATTTTTTTTTTGGAAAGACAAACATTGGTGGGACCGTATTATCAATAGCTTTTACGGCTAGGCACATATTGACTAGATAGAGTTCCACGTTCTTGTGACGTTATAGCTCCAACCTGTTTGGTTCCTTTTTGTATCGTAACGCCTGAATCATCAATATTATATATACTTTGGGGTTCAAAATTGTGTCTTTAAAGAACTTATGAAAGCTTATTAAAAAATGTGGAGACACTTTCTTTGTTGAAATTCATTGCACGCGAAAGGCTTGTTAATTGTGCCGTTCGTAAAGAAAGGTGTGGGTTTCTTCTTAAAAATGCTCTTAACCAATCTTCAGAAGCAAGTTCTGTTGTGTCCCAATTCGCAGGATAACGTAACCGATTTGTTTTGACATAACTATATGCAAGTTTTCTAAGGTCTTTTGTGGTAAGAAATATAAATCTACTGACTTTTCATAATATTTGACAAGCTGCTGCTCTTGATCAGTGTTAAAAACTGTGTTCTATGGATTATATCCTACTTTAAATTCTCCATTATTACGTATTTTTTTACGAACCGGTATAAGGTAACATGACACATTTAATAATATTTTGCTACCTTTCTAATTGTTTATCTATTACTTTTCTTGCTGCTTCCTCAAAAATGGCTTGAGGATTTGTACCTCTTTTAGTTTTTCATGGGCGTGGTTTCGCCATACTTATAATATCTGAAAAAAAAAAAAAACTTAATAACTACATTTATATAGCTTACTTAACCCTT